AGTCAGGAATACCTGAGTTCAAATCTGGCCTCAAGACACTTACTAGTTGTGTGACCCTAGACAAGTTACTCAACCCTGTTTGCCTCAATTTCCTCATGTGTAAAACAAGTTGGAGAAGGAAATGGCAAAACCATTCTGGTATCTTTGCCAAGAAAGGGGGTCACAAAGAGTTGGACACAACTTAAAAGACTGAGCAACAACAGATACACAGATATGTACACACACATATGCATATATATCACACACACACACACACATACAGTTTATGCAGAGTTGTTTATATGGTATCTCCTCTATTAGACTGTGAGCTCCTTGAGGCCAAGGATTGTTTTGACCTTTCTTCCTATTCCCAGCATTTGGCACACTGCCCTGCCCATCTCCCTTACCCCATCTCACAAGAACACAAGGTCTTTTTCCTTGCCAGAGGAAACCCTTATACAAGCACAAGAGATCTCATTCCATCCCATCTTCTCCAGCAAATTACCCCCTGTGTCATCCTTATTGTCTTACTAATCTTTGGTCTCTCCCTGTGTAATTGCTGTTTTCCTACTATGTAAAAACAGATGCCTGTCTCCCCCATCCTCAAAAAAAAAAGCCCAAAAAACAACCCTCACTTGATGTATCCAGCCTACTAGCTATCAATTCTATATCTCTTCTCTCTATTGAAGCTAAACTCCTTGAGAAGGTCAGGGTCATCTACAACAGGTGCCCCCACTTCTTTTCCTCTTGCTTTCTTTTTAACTCTCTGACTTCCAACCTCATCATTCTTCTTCATCCAGGTCACGCCCACTAACTATGGCTATGCCAGAGTGCTCTATCCCGGGCTCTCTTCTCCTTCTATACTATCTCATTTGATGATCTCATCAGCTCCAAAGGGCTGAATTGTCATCCCTATGGTGATGATTCTCAATTCTACCTATCTAGCCCTACCTCTCTGCTGACCTCCACTCTCACATCTCCAACTGCCCATTGGACATTTCAATCTGGATGTGTCTTAGACATCTTAAACTCAGCATGACCAAAACAGAACTCTTTATTTTCCCCCCAAACCCTCCCCTCTTCCTAATTTTTCCATACCTGTGGAGCACATGTTGTCTACTCCATTAGACTGTGAGCTCCTTGAGGGCAAGAATTGTTTTGCCTTTCTTTGTTTTCCCAGCATTTAGCACATTGCCTGGCACGTCTCTTCCTTCACCCCTGTCTCACAAGAAAAGGTGATCTTTCTCCTTGCCAAGTTACCCAGTTATCGAGGCTCAAATACTAGGTTTCACCCTTGACTCCTCACTGTCTCTCATGACCCCCCCATCCAATCTAGTGCCAAATTCTGTTGATATCGCCTTCATCCCATCTCTCACATATGCCCCCTTCTCTCCTCTGACACTGTCATCACCCTTACTTTTTGAAGCTTTGGCTGTGGGATTCTGCTGGTCAGGCTGGCTCTCTTCATGCTACCTTTCATTCCCCACTTCCTAACCACTGTTCTCTAGGCAGCCTTGTTTCCACAATGTACCTCTAGTTTGGGCTGGATGATCAAATCAACCTAGCCATTGCTTTTTTATAGGAAGTGTCCATCTTTATGTGAGACAAGTGAAGGAAAAGATAATGGGAGAAGTTATCTGAATGATGAGAGGTGAGCAAGGGAGAGAGGGAGCTCTCAGCAAATAGCCTCAATTTTTTCAGTAAGATGTGGAGAAGAGTTCTTAATAAATGCTTTTAAAAGACCTTTAATGGATGTTTATTGCTTGTTGGTGGCTATTGTAGAAGGATACACAAAAAGAAGCAAAATATTCTTTAATTTGCCTTTCCCACAAAATGAAGAGATTAGATTTAGATTTGGAGGTGGAAGGGACCTTGGGGTTCATCTAATCTAGCTCCCTCATTTTACAAATGAGAACCTTGAAATCCAGAGAAGAAAATGTCCTTGATCAAGGTCATAAGGTAATAAGAATAACAAGGCTGCAATTTGAACCTAGGTCTTCTGATTCCAAATGTCTTCCCAAAAGACCATAGTGCTTTGTTCTTCTTTAGCTGCAAATGTTTCCTCCAAAACAGGGGACATTTTGTGTACCTTTGTCACAAAAGGCAGACCAGTTAGTTAACAATAGATAATGTCTACATTGTAGTAATTTGGATACTATTTCTAGGACGTGACCTATAGTTATTCACGGTCATTGAATTAATGACCAGAAAAGTGAAAAGACAGCATGTACTTAGACATAAAACACCTATTTGTATGTCATTGGTTGTAATATTTTCAATGCCTTCCTTTCAAAGAAATTGCTCTCCTTAGCATGTTCTCATGGCACTAGCTCACAATAAAATAAATTCACTACAAATGAAAACTCCACACCATTTTTATCCCTTGCAGTTGATGGCAGGGACCCTAGACACATTTTCTTACTTCCGGCCTTTAATTTTTAAAGCATTCTTTTATTAGGCTCAACCCAATATAAATCCAACTCTTTTCAGCAGAAAGAAATTGAGTTTTCATGATGCAAAAATGCTGTACATTAGCATGAACAGTCTCTTTTATAGCCTTATCTAAAACTCTTTGGAGATAGAGGATTCCCGGGACTCCTCCACATCTCACAAGGGTGGGAGAAGAAGCCATATAAATGTTCAATTCCACTTCCTAGACTACAGGGGTGAATACTTGGGTCAAGGACAAGAGCCTACCATGAAGAATTAGATCATTTGACCATCAAGGTGGTAGTTGTTTTTTGTTTTGTTTTTTACAAACCTCAATAAAATCTCCAAAAGAGGGAGTGATGGTAAAATTATGCACCGGATGTAGACTAATGAAAATTGATACATAAAACAAGAAGACAAAAATGTACCAGGCAAAAGTCTTATGAAATAATGGCAGAAAACTTAAAGACTTAGAGCTCCCACACAGTGTCTCCATCCCCAAATCGTTCAATGTGTCAGGCACTGTCACTGCAAGCAATCTCATGGGCATGTGCTTCAGGCTTCAGTAAATGAAGCAACAGGCTAGTCAATTAACAAGCATTTTTTAAGTACCTATTATATGCCAAGCATTGGGACAAGAGCAGGGGATACAATTTTGTTTTTTGCACATTGTTGTTTTTTTCTTTTCTTTGTATCTTTTACTGGGTCTTTATCCAGGTCATAGCTGCTAATGATGGGTGTCCCATAAGGTTGTTTCCTAGGCATGCTTCTCTTTTCCCTCTATATTATATCACTTGGTGAACTTATCAGCTCCCATGGTTTCAATGATCATATCTGTGCTAAGGACTCAGCTCTAACCTCTCTGCTGACCTCCAGTCTCATCTCCAACTACCTAGTAGACATTTCAGACTGGATGTTCTATAGACCTCTGAAACTCAACATCTAAAAGTGAAATCATTATCTTTCCCTCAAACTTTCCCCATCTTCCTGAGTTCAAATCAGTTTTGGAGTCCAGAAAAGGCTTTGCAAAGTATATGGCATATAAGCTAAGTCTTGGAGAAAGTTAAGGTTTCCCCCAGGGGGTGGTAAGGAAGGAGGACATCTCAGACATGGAGGGCAGCCCAGCCAAAGAGGCAGAAGATGGAACATTAAATAGCAAGAGTAGCAAAGATGCCAATTGTAGAGTAGACAGAAGGCTACGCTAAAAGAAAATGGAGAAAGGGCAAATTAAATGGGAAAATATATCATTCAGAGGAAGAGACGTGGATCTGGAAAGTATGGAGTTAAATGGTTGAAAGCCACCATAATGAATAAACCTTCACTTCTGATGCACAGATAAAATAATTGTACAGGACATTTTTGTAATGCAAAAAGGGCAACCTATTACAAGCTCTTCTGACCAGACCACTCCTTTATTAGTTTCAGGAAATAGCCAGGATTTGCCCAGAAGCAACACCCCCAATATTACAAACATTTTACTTTCTCCCCAATGCAGGAGGGAGGAGTTGGAGAGGGAAATGAGAACTAGAATCATTTATAAGCTCAGAATTCCACTAATCTTTCTGGAAATCTCCAAGCAGGAGGAGCTGAAGGCAGCAAGACTGGGACAGAAGAAAGACTATATCCATTGTATGGCGCCTGCTATATCCACAAAGACAGGTTTTCATCAGGTTTCTAACAGGATGTTAAACTCAGAAATTAATTGAAATTATTAATTGAAAAATATAATTGAAATTAGAGGTAGTGGGTAGATTGCTGGGTTTGGAGTCAGGAAGACCTGGGAATCTCACCTCCAAAACTTACTAATTGTGCGACTGTAGGCAAGTCACTTGATTAGTCTGTGTTATTTGGACAGCTCCTTAGAATGTTTCTCTCATAGACGAGTTGCAATCAGCATTGGTAGATGGGATTCCCACGCTATGTAGATCCTTGAGTATGTGAGCATAAATATGAACCATTATCCATGCCTGTGAGACAACCTGGTATGCTGGATAGAGTTCTAGACCTGGAGTTAAGAAGACCTAGACATAAATCCCAACTTCCCTTTATCATCTGTGTAATTCTGGGCAAGTAACTTGTCTTCGCTGTGCCTCAGACTGCTCATTAGGACTTACAAATTACAGATTATATTAGACCACATTATTGCTTCCTTTAAACCCTGATGAAATCACAATTTAGTGCCTATAAATGAATACCTATCTCTTCTTTCTTCTCATTAACAGAAAATTTGATTATGTTTGGAAATTGATTTTATATATTATATACATATAAGTGGAAAAGATCCTCAATGTCAAATCTAAAGAACAATTCCACATAAATAACCAAAGTAGCAGTAACAAAAGTACGTAATGTATAATTTTGATTTGTTTAAACAAACCTTCATTTAAATTCAAAATTAGTGTTTTTGTTGCCTGCTTCACCCCACCCTCAAACCCTAAGAAGTATTTTAAATAATATGGGTCAATATCATAGTTAGAGACTTACCTTTTCATGTAAATTCCTTGATGGAAATTTAAGTAAAAAATAAGTTTGCTGTTTTGTTTCATTAATTCTTCCAACTTCAACAGAAGATTCTCTTGCTTCATTTCTAGAGTAAGAAAAGATGAAGGCCCTAATCCTGATTACGGTTGTCTTGACCATAACTGCTTGCTTCTCTGTAAGTACCTAGTATCATAAAGCTATCTTCTTATCGATGTCTACCATTTTGCTTTTCTTAAAACAACCTAGTTCATGAGGGAGTTCAATATAAAGTACTGTTCTCATCTTTTTTTTTTAAGGTTTTTTTTTTAGGCAATTGGGGTTAAGTGACTTGCCCAGGGTCACACAGCTAGTAAGTGTCAAGTGTTGTTTGGTCTGAGGTGGGATTTGAACTCAGGTCCTCCTGACTTCAGGGCCAGTGCTCTATCCACTGAGCCACCTAGCTGCCTCCTCATCTTTTCTTAAAAAGAATCCTGGATATGATTATTACCCACAGCACAACCAACCATGGAAATTAGTTACTTTGGGAATTCCGCCCCTGATACCAATGAACTGGCTGTATGATGATGTTAACTTATCTCTATGATGGTGACATTGAGAGGCTTGAAATTCCTTTAAATGTGTTTTCTACCCACTCTGCCTCTTCCTCATTTCATCACCAAGAATAATGTATAATCTTTCCTACTGGAAGACACCATGCTCTGAGTTCAGTATAGGGAGAAATATGCGATTGCATTGGCAGAGGGAACTCCCAAGTGAGAACAATCCCTCCATCCCCATGCCAGTTGGTACTGACTCTGGAAATAAGAAGACAAATGTATAGCGCACCACATATAAATGCTGTTCATCATCATCATCATCATCATTATGATTAGTTATAGCCTTAGCAAAGTTCCCAGAACACTATCGTGGAATGACTTGTTCGAAGTCACACAGCCAGTCAGTGCAAGAAACAAAACTTGAATCCAGGTCCAACCATGTCATCCATGCACCCCATGCCCACTCACTTCCAATGGTTCCCTACGCCCCCAGAAGCAAATACAAAATGCCCTATTTGGCATTCAAAGCCTTTCATAACCTACCCCCTCCTACCTTTCCAGTCTTCTTAAGCCTAATTCCCCAACACATCCTTTTTGATCCAGTGACACTGGCCTCCAGGCTGTTCCACAAACAAGATACTCCATCTCTCAGCTTCAGGCATTCTTTTTGGCTTTCTCCTATGCCTGGAATGCTGTCCATCCTCCATTCCAACTACTGAGCTCCCTGGCTTCCTTAAGTCCCAACCAAAATCCCATCTTTTACAAGGAGCCTTCCCTAACCCCTCTTAATTCTAGTTCTTTCCCCTCTGCTAAATATTTCCTTTCAATCTTGTATATAGCTTGCTCTGTATGTGTATTTGCATATTATCTTCCCATTAGATTGTAAGCTTCTTGAGGGCAAGGACTCTTTTTTGCCTCTTTTGGTATTCCCAGTTCCTAGCACACTTCCTGGTACATAGTAGGGGCTTAATCGATATTGATTGATTGGTTAATTCCAGCCTTAGAGGTCAGCTGTCTATCCACTATGCCATGTTGCACTGAGTCTAATTTGTTTGTTTTGTTTTTTTTTTACTATGCATTTATACATGTTCAACATTTTAGCCAGCTGAAGGACGTAAGAGGAGACACCATGGAAAAGTAAGTTTTATTTCATCTTTACCTTTCCTCCTTCCTTTCTTTCTTCTCGCCTCCTTTCTTTCCTTCCTACTTTCCTTCTTTTCTTCCCTCCTTTCTTCCTTTCTTCATTTCTTTTTTCCATCCTTCCTTCCTTCTTTCCTTCCTTTCTCAGGTAGGCTGTCCCTGAGAAGTACAAGAGAGTACAAGACGTACAAGTCTTCATCTATTCTCCAACTAGCAGGAAATGGGTTGAGATAAAAAGCAGCCTAGTGAATTTCTAATAGTAACAGGACAGATAGAAGCCAGATAAGAACAATTCAGCCAAATCCTTCCTATATTGGTGTGTGGCCTGCACGTGCACATAGACCCCACGTCCACAGAAGAGTTCTGTAAAAACTGGTTTTGGCCCCTTTATTTTTACATCAAGGCCATTTCCGTGTATAGCTCGTCCCACTTAGAACACAATCGGTCCTCTTTGGTAATAAAGAAAAAACAGAGAAGCAAAACAAACCAAGAGACTAGTGACCCCTTAAAGAAAGAGTAATAAATTCTGCCCTTGGAGCCCCCCAGATCTCTACCAAAAGCTGGGGAGGCCCCTTCAGCAGCAACAGAACTAAGCCCGTGAGGGATGAAGGTGACAGGACACCAGTGCAGTAGGTAGGTAGATAGATGGATAGATGAATAGATATGTGTGTATATGTATATGTGTGCATGTGTACATGTATGTGTGTGTGTACATGTGTATATGCACATGTATGTATATATATGTGGGGTGATATGTCTCTGCCATGTATGACACAAGCAGAAACAGGCTTGAGCCATAACCACCTCCCTGGACACTGCAAGTGTTTATACCCTTAATCCCTGTCTACCTGCCCTAAATAGCCAGAGGCATCAGGATGCTATGGTTTAGTTTTACCAAAGAGGAACAGAGTTGGACAAAAAGATCCGCCAGCTCCAGTCAAATACGAATGTGATCCTATGTCTGTTTAGATAGTTATGTGTGGTTTCATTAACTCTAAGATTCGCAAAGCGCTTTACAAATATTTTTTCATTTGATCCTCACAACAACCTCAGGAGGGAAGTGCTATTATTATCCCCATTATACAGATGAGGAAACTGAGGCAGGCAGCGGTGAAGTGACTTGCCCAGGGTCACAGAGTTAGTAAGTATCTGAAATCAAACTTGAACTCAGATCTCCCCAACTCCAGGCCCAATGCTCTGTGTGCTATGGCACCACCTAGCAGCCACTTGAAGGAATTTTCACAGAAGAACGTAGCAAAATAAAAGGATTTGTACTGTGAAGTTTGGATTCAGTCAAAGGGCCGCACTTGAGGACCTAGAGGCCCACATGTAACTTCGAGGCCGCAGGTTCCCCACCCCTGTGACTTATTTTCTCCTTTTGTTGTACTTTGCTTTTTCTCTGTGTGGTCTTAATGTGCTACATGTGATTTCACAAGATGGTAATTAGACTATAAACTCTTTGAGGCCAAGGACCATATCTTTCACTTCCTTTATGTCTCCCCACCAGGCAGAGGTCAGGGCTTTAAACAAGGGAGCTGTCCATTTTTGGGGGGGAGGGGGGCTAGGCAGTGGGGTTAAGTGGCTCGCCCAGAGACACACAGTTAGTGAGCATCATGTGTCTGAGGTCGGATTTGAACTCAGGTCCTCCTGACTCCAGGGCTAGTGCTCTATCCACTGCACCACCCAGCTGCTCCTCGATTTTTCTTTTTGCACCAGATTTGTGATTTTATCAGTATAGAGAGCTCTTGATGAGGTAAATAACGTCCTTTACTATCACAGAGACCTTTCTATCTATCACCCTTTCTTATCATCCTTTTCTTTCTATCACCCTTCTACACAACCTGGTTTTAGAGAGTGACCTGGGAGGCTAAGAGGTGGAGCTGTTCATTTAGGGTTTTAGTCCTGTAGCTGTTAGAGACAGGACTTGAACCGAGGTCTTTATGTAGCTCTGAGACTCTGTCCACTGTGCTGCTCTCTGTCTCTCTGTCTCTATTTCTCTCTGTCTCTCTCTGTCTCTGTCTCTTTGTGTGTCTCTGACTCTGTCCCTTTCTGTCTTTCTCCTCCTCCTCTTTTTTTCTCCTCCTCCCTCCCTTCCTTCCTCCATGTCTCTCTCTCTCTCTTTCTCTCTGTCTTTCTCCTCCTCCTCTTTTTTTTTCTCCTCCTCCTTCCCTTCCTTCTTCCATGTCTCTCTGTATCTCTCTCTGTCTCTGGAATTCAATAAATGCTATTTAATTAAATCCCTAACCATAAATCTCCAATGTATTCTTTCTGTACCAAGCACCATGATGACACACACAATCCAGGACGTGGCGATCCTTTCAGAGGGCCTAGAGGACCATGGGGTCCCAGAGGACCACACGGTCCTGGAGGACGTCCTGGTCCAACTCCTCCAGGTGGTTTTTTTGGGACACCAGGTTCACCTGATGCACATGAAAGAGATGGGCAAGGACTGTTCTTCCCACCAGAGAAATGTGTAAGCATTTGTCCTCATGGCCCTGCAAATGGAGCTCCTGGGAACCCTCCTGGATCCTCTATTGCCCCTCCACCTCCCGCTCCCATCTCCACCATCACAGCTGTCACCGGGCCTAAAACCACTCCGGCTGCCAATCCTGAAAGTACAGATATTACAGCAACAGCAATATACACAGTTACTTAGTTCTGAATTCACAGAAGGAAAACGTCAAGGCAGGAAATGGTAAGAGTCCTTAGAGAAATGTTTTTAAATTAACAAACTGCATTGACTTATCTATGGATTTTCCCATGGTTTCATTCAAATGGGAAAGAAAAAGTAAACCAGATTTTTAAAATATAATCTCTAGATTTCATTGCATAGAGATCATACATCATTGACTTATTTTTTTGTTGATGTCGTTGTGAGAATCGAGATGATACATTACTGAGCACCTGAATCATTTCTAAAGATTTACCTACAAAATAAAGGCCAATCAATAAATTTATAGTATTTTCAAGAACACTTTATTCCCACAATTAATCATTTATTTGTACAAGCACCTAGCCTGGATTATTGCCATTAGTAAGTGAAATTAACTTTGAAGTCTACTTTTATGCTTAAATTCCATAAAACTTGAATTGAATTTGAATTAGAGGTAACCAGATAGACATTAGACCTGGAGTCAGGAAGATCTGAGTTCAAATCCTAGCTCTGTGACCCTAGGCAAATCCCTTTAACTTCTATGTACCTCAGTTTTCTCGTGTATTAATTGAGGTAATAATAACACCTAGCTCCCAGAGTTGTTGTGAAGATGTTGTTCAGTTGTTTTTCAGTCGTGTCTGACTCTTCATGACCCAAATTTGGGGTTTTCTTGGCAAAGATACTGGAGTGGTTTAGCATTTCCTTCTCTAACTCATTTTGTAGATTGGGAAACTGAGGCAAACAAGGGTAAGTGACTTGCCCAGCATCACATAGCTAGTAGGTGTCTGAGGCTGGATTTGAACTCAGGAAGAGGAGTCTTCCTGACTCCAGGCCTGGCACCTGAGGATAAAATGAGATAATATGTATAAAGCACTTTGCATGCCTTAAAGCACTATGCAAATGCTAGTTATTGTTATTATTATTATTATTATTATTATTATTATTAATTTCTTAAAGGGTAGAATAGATTTCCCTTGTACTTTTAGGTATTAAGAGCTGAAGAGTCATGTAAACAGAAGGGCAGCTGGGTGGTGTAGTGGATAAAGTGTCCAGCCTAGAATCAGGAAAACTCATCTTCCTGAATTCAAATCCAGCCTCGGACACTGACTAGCTGTGTGACCCTGGGCAAGTCACTTTGCCTCAGCTTCCTCATCTGTAAAATGAGCTGGAGAAGGAAATGGCAAACCGCTACAGTATCTTTGCCAAGAAAACTCCAAAGGGGGTCACAGAGAGTCAGATAAGACTGAACAGCAGCAACAAAGGTGAGCACGATGGCAGCTCCCAGACTTGCTTACTATTCTTCCTGCTGTGGGTCTCAGCTCAAAGATGATTTTTAATTAATCACACACAGGAAACAGGACACTCCTGAATACATTGCTAAGTGGTTGATTGTGAAGGATCTAAAATGAATGGGAAATATTTTTTCTGACAGTTACAAAAACAGTTATTGTGAAACTAACGAAGTGTAAAGGGAAAGTTGCATGTGTTTAACGTATTCTTGTTCTTTATTTCAGATCATGCTGATTATGAATACCGTGTGCATATCAGCTGACTATTAAAAATAAATCAACGCTCTCTGACTCGATGGGAAATAAGAAATTTTAGGAACATGGGCTTTTCTTTAATCACCTAGGAATAAATGAATAACTTTTCTCCAATAAAGCTTTTTTCAACCATTTGCTTCATTATCCAATTATATGTAATGTTTGTCTCCATCTTTTCTCCCAAATATCACAACACTGAGAACCAATTCATAAATTCGTTTATTCAGCAAATACTTTTTAAGGGGCCCCTGTGTGCAGAGAATGGTGCTAAATGGAGAATGGTGGAGGATGTAAACAGTTGAGATCCGATATGGTTCCTTGCCTCACAGCACTTATATTGAGAAATTATTAGCAAACTCAGCCTGTTTGAAGCATCCAGGACAGACATTCCTTAACTACCCCCAAACATTGAGTCTTTAGAGAAAAGATAGAGAAATGATGGTCAGGTAAATTTTAATGGGAATTCTTTTTTTTTCTTTTTTTTTTTTTTGTATCGCTTGGGTCAGATGACCCACTGAGGTTCCTTCCCATTCTCAAACTGTGTGATCCTGTCATCTGTGGTTGTGAATGGACGAAGCATACACCCATTCCACAGAATGCACATTTATGGGGGGATGGGGAATAGTGTGATTAAGCTTCTCTTGAGTAATCCTTCATTGTACATGAGAAAATAACCTTTATACTGCATACATGAATATCACATGCTAAGACAGTGTCTGTAGTGAGGGCAGGTAGTAATGCATTCACTGAAGAATGTCTATGGAATGTTTTCTGAAATCCTAATTGTTCACACCTTTTTCCATCTCAAATATTTATTCATAAACTTAATGTCTACATGCCATATTTCCCCAGTGCTTCCAAAACCCTTCACTATGTAAGTTTCTTGAGGGCAGATACTGTTATTTGCTTTATCCTTGTATCGCCATACTTATCACAGTATCGGGCGTATAGTAGGTGCTTAATAAAGGTTTGCTGGTTCGAATTGGATTGCAGGATCTAGACATCAGCATAGGTCAAATCCCATCGTCAAGTGACCCTGCTGAAGTTTTGTCTTTCAATATCTTTATTATCAATACCCAGGATTTTTTTTCCCATTTGAAGGGGCCTCTCGAACCAATGCCCTAGAAATGCAGAAGGCTTCTTGCATATATCCCCATTGCCAGCAAAAGTCCTGAAACACAGGGAGTGCCCAAAGTCACACACTGGCTCAGTCACAGAGCTGGACTAGGACCCAGGTCTCTTTATTCTCAGTGAACAAATTCAAGAAATACTTGTCTCTCCACTCTCCATGGCATGAATGGGAATGAAATGTTCTTTGAAAAACTGAAAGAAGGGCTTCAAAGTAGAAACAAAGAAGAAAATACATCTGAAAGAGAAAAGGGTAATGAAGATCTGTGTTGAGAGGTTGAAAACTATGGCTCAGAGATGAAGAGGAAGAAAAACCAGTGAATACTTGGAGGTCAATAGACACGAGGCTCTTCTCATAATGGAGGGAGTTGGACACTGGGGGGAAATACCTATTTTTCCTCTAAGGAATAAGGAGGAGGAGGACTCCAAGAGATCATCAGGACAGAGAACGACTAGTTTATACACACACACACACACACACACACACACACACACAAGTATATGATATATACACATATATGTCTATGTATGTGTATGTATACACATATAGGTATATAATATATGCGTATGTGTATATATTTATATGTGTATATGTATATATGCATATATATAATATGTCAATATCTTTTTCTCACCTGTACACAGCATCTTCACCAAAATTGACCACACATTAGGGCATAAAAACCTCACAAGCAGAGAAAAGCAGAAATATTAAATGCACATTTTTCAGACTGTAATACAATAAAATTGCATTCAATTAAAGGCTTTGGAAACACAAATTAAAAATAAATCTAATACTAAAGAATGAATGGATCAAAGAACAAATCATAGAAATACTCAATAATTTCATTAAAGATAAAGAAAACAATAAGACAACATACCAAAATTTATGAGATGTAGCCAAAGCAGTACTGAGGAAAACTTATTTTTCTAAATGCTTATATCAATAGAAGAGAGAAAGAGCAGATCAATAAAATGAATACGCAACTTAAAAAAAAACTAGAAAAAGAACAAATTAAAAATCCCCAATTAAACACCAAAATAGAAATCCTGCAAATCAAAGGAGAAATTAATAAGACTGAAAGTTAAAAAAAAAAAACCATTGAACTAATATATAAAAAAAAGCTCGTTTTGTGGAAAAAAAAAAACAACAACAACTACAAAACAGATAAACCGTTGGTTAACTTGGCTTAAAAAAAAAGAAAGAAGAAAGCCAAATTATCAGTATCAAACATGAAAAGTGAATGCACCACCAATGAGAATGAAATTGAAGTAATTATTAGGAACTATTTTGCCCAACTTTATACCAATAAAATTGACACTTAAATAAAATGGATGCATTTTTACAAAAACATAAACTCTCCAGATTACTAGAAGAGGAAATAGAAGGTTTAAATAACCCTATCTTAGAAAAAAGAAACTGAGCAAGCCATGGAAGAGCTCTCTAAGAAAAAAATCCTCAAGAGCAGGTGGATTAACAAGTGAATTCTACCAAACATTTAAAGAACAATTAATTCCAATGCTATATAAACTATTAAAAAAAATAGGTAAAGAAGGAGCTCTACCAAAAATTTTTATGACACAAATATGGTGCTGATACCTAAACCAAGAAGAGCAAAAACAGAAAGAAAACTATAGACCAATTTCCCTAATAATATTGATGGAAAAAATATTTAATAAAATGCTGGTGGAAAGGTTCGCTTTAGCAATAAGAGAAGAAAAAGAAATTGAAGGTATTAGAATAGGCAAAGAAGAAACAAAGCTATCACTCTTTATAGATGACATGACGATATACTTAGAGAATCCTAGAGAATCAAGTAAAAAACTACTTGAAATAATAAACAACTTTAGCAAAGTAGCAGGCTATAAAATAAACCCACAAAAATCATTGACATTTCTATATATTACCAACAAAGTCCAACAGCAAGAGACAGAAAGAGAAATTCCATTTAAACTTACTGTAGACATTATAAAATATTTAGGAGTCTACCTCCCGAAATAAACCCAGGAACTCTATGAATACAATTACAAAACACTTTTCATACAAATAAAGTCAGATCTAAATAATTGGAAAAACATCAGTTGCTCATGGGTAGGCCAAGCTAATATAATAAAAATGACAATTCT